CAAGGCTTCTCACTCATATATCCTAATGGGAACCAAATTTAAGCTAAATGTTCCAGAAACAGGTTCAGAGAATCGGAGGTCCACAGGCCTTAACACAGAGGCCATTATACAAATTGGGCTAAAAACCCGAGAACGATAATCTTAGCAACATGTTCTGTTTGCGTGGAACAAACTGCCGTCTACAGAATAAAGTAGAATCAGTCGTAAAAAACACGCACAAAGTATCTGTGACACATAAATGGGTTAAAATCGATAAAATAACCAAATCATAATCCGAAATAGTACCAGTCATGTTTGATGATGTTGTCAGGCTAAATGTAGGCGTTCCCATGAGAATCTTGCGATGATGAGATACGATCTCCGAGTGATTGCGGCAATCAGTTATTACCAGAACGGACTATATCCCAGACATCAAGTGAAGTAGCTGTGTAAATGTCCGTCATTAAAACCGCTGGGATTGATTTAAAATTGTCCGAGCAATCGAGCTCAAGAATTCATTTATAGTATATTGGTTGTTTTTGTTTAACAAGGCACTCAGAAATAATCGCCCCCTTGGACGGCGGCGTGTAAATATTCGTGTCTGGACCTGACAATCCAGTGACTGATATCATGAGCGTCGATCCAAACCGTCGGGATATGCTGACCTGCAATCGGCCAAGTCTCCTGGCTTCGTCAATCGGTACACTGGGTTGCCACTTGTGACCAGGATCGGTTGCAGCGACCTTGTCTGATGTGGGATACTGTTGAGCCTTTATTATATTGATACTAGGATCAGATAAATGTGTGTTTGTGTGAAGGGAATATACCAACTATACATGATATAGTACACTATTACCCTGATCGAAGGCAGTGATTAGGGAAGATAATCAACTCTCACCATATCAGCGCTTAGCCTCACGGGAAATCATCGTCGTTGACGCCGGAAACAGGAACTGACTTCTCACCAGCAAGTTAACACAAAATGGCGATAGCAGTTGCTGATGAGTGAGGGAATTCTTCTGAAAGTCTATGACCTTATGAGATCTTGATTCACTGTGGAACACGGACCAAAGATTTCTAAAGTTCCGCATGTTGCTGTAACCGTACACATGGGTTTCACCAAAATCAGCCATTATTAAAGCGCGATTCCTGCTCTATTTCGGGATTTCGTCTCACATTGATCTAACACGTTGGGTATGCCTGAAATACAGTTCAAAGCGGCATCAAACACAACTCACTCCCTGCTAAACATGCTTTTGGGGTTTGCGCTACAGAAGAAATCAGACTTGGAAACATCAAAGCTCTCACTCACATCCCACCCCATCCTATCTCAAGATAAATTTCGATCTGACAAATCACACTTTCCTCCACAGACGAAAAAAGACTTGGAAACATCAAACAAGCTCTCACACCCATCCTGTCTCAAGATACCATTAGTTCTGACAAACCGAGACACATGATCACTGGGTATCTGGGATTCTTTGCTCATTGCCGACATTTTTGTTTCCATGATGAATGACGCTGAACATGCAAATCACCTTTATGAAACACGGAGAGTCCTTGATTGTGTACATGATATGAAACTATGTCTCAGATTTTCCGAGCACCAAAGGGAAAATAGCATCAAGGCTCCTTCAGTGACAGACAGTTCTTAGTCCATGATGGTCTCACAAGACACCCGGTGTTAGTGACATTCTTGCATCAGTTTTGATGTTATGGCCAAGAGGTAGATACGTCTCTACATGGAGGATAACCTGCAGTTTGGATGATGTGTAAATGAGCGGGTTGAGTGCAATGCCATTTGAACCGTTTTAGTGGTCTCGTTTGATGCTGGAAAGCAGCAACTGATGCAGCTCACGGGTGCAGTTGGGTCCTAGCGCTTGTTGCAGCCAATGATGTCTTCGTTCAGACTGGAATTTACATGTACCTCGAATATTGCCTAGTGTAGCATAAAACAACCAACCGACGAGACACATAAAATCCAAATAACGGTTGCCTCTAAGCAACATTATAGATCTAAACCCCCAAGTCATACCGCATGCCAGAATCTAAGCAATATACGCTTATAATACTTTCCAATTATTGTATTTCTTGAGGGTAGTAGACCTACCTTTTGTAATTGAGTTCAACAAAAGTCACATACACGCTTGTTAGGAAAGTATTACTTGTGGGGATAACTTGTAGCTGAGTTTTACGTGGTTTAACTTTGTCATATCCGGGCACTTCAGCTTCTTTAGGGACGAAAGCTCGTACAACTTGCGTACACCAACACGGAGCTGACAAAGCAAAGGTAATTCTTCGGGCGAATTCCACTCAAGGGTAGAACATCTCGTGGATCATCAAAAGACACATCTAAACATACTTACAATACATGGAGATCTGACAAGTGACGTTTCAAAAGACAACATTGTTTTATCAAAGTCGGCCCGTAGCTGCACTTGAAGTAAAGAGGCTCGATATATTGGGTCATATCGACCCAACCGAACGAGGGCGTGTTTATGATCTGCATTCTCTGCATTACTGTAAAAATACAAGGATAACCAAAGTCAGATTTCTTCTCTATTCATTTAGGCGAGTGAATGGCGTTTATGGCCACAGTTATGTCATGGAGACCAGGAGACCTATTCTCGAAACGTTCGTAGATCTAAGAATTCTTAACTTTGATCGTAGCCAGTGTGTTAAGAATGGGCTTAAGAAGTTCTTAGGGCTACGAACGTTTCGAGAATAGCTAGCCTGTTATGGCGGAAATCTAACTAGACAAACGAGTGACTGAAGGCACGATGAGCGAGCCATGCACTCACTCTCAACATGACACGCAGGGCCGCAGAGGTTTACCACCACTTTTTACTCGCTTTATTCGGTGTTGGTCTGTGGACATGTTCAATATGGCTCTTTTGTTTAGAGGTTGTCTAAATTATATGCACGTCAAGAAGAAAATTAAGCACCACTTATCAATAATGCAATGAATTGTTTACCCACAAGAACCTGCCTTTCGTGTTGACATTTCACAACTTTTGCGGTACAATCGAACATGCTCTTTTTACCAAGATTTAAAGGAGCGTCATACCACTCTTCCTCAAAGGTTGTTCGATCAAAGTTACAAGATTCAAGTCCTCGGTACAGCTTTCAAACAGTTTTATGTTAGACATGTGGAGGACATTTCCAAATTTGATGCATCAGTGACACGTCCGATACAATTCCCTATTTTGACATGTACCATCCGTTCCCGAATTATTTCAGGCGAACAACTGGATTGACTTTGCATATGTTTATAACGGGTGCCACCGGTGGGGCAGTTTATGCTCACCTTTTTCACTATTTCATAATGATTCATAAACACATACTCTGTCATCATGGTGACAATCAGTGAATTGTCTGGTCCAGACTCGATTGTTTACAAGCAACATAGTACAGCTGTAATACTGCTGAAACAAATACATACTCATGATATATTTATAGTCGGAATTGTACTAGACTCTGCTTGTGGTTGGATAGTTGTTTGACGCCGCCCTCAGCAATATTCCATGTATATGGTGGAGGTCTGTAAATAATCGAGTCTGGGCCAGCCAATCCAGTGATCAACGGCATTGATTTACGGAACTGGGACAGGACACGTGTCAACTAAGGCAGCGAACCTGACCACCGATCCCGTTAGTCGCCTCTTGTGGCAAGCGACGGCCTCCGTGGTGTAGTGGTTACAGCGTCCGCCCGGAGAGCTGAAGGTCGCGGGTTCGATCCCCCCACCGCGTCATACCAAAAGAAGTTAAAATATCGTACTTGTTGGTCCCTGCTTGGCGCTAGGCATTAATGGGTACAACAAGGACTGGTCGGCTCGGAGTCAGTATAATGTGTCTGAGTGGGGTATTCTGCCTAACTGCGGTATGGTATCTCAGTGGGCTAGCACTATAAAACCAGCTTAAGTCTGGGCTAGTACAAGCAGCCGCACACACATACACACGCATGCACGTCGTCATATGAGCGAAATATTCTCAAGCACGACGTTAAACCCAATTTCACCTCACCTCACCTTATGGCAAGCATGGGTTATTGAAGACCAATTTTAAGCCGGATCTTCACGGGTCATGAGAGGTGAATATTACCACCATTGGCTTTATTGCTATGATCACTGCTCTTGTATTATACTGCTTCCGAACTTGTATTGCCGCTGTATTTTGTACTGTTAGTTACACCTATGTGCTGAATTTGTATTGATTTTTAGAATACAATTGTTAATTGTATCACATTACTTTGTTGTTTTTACACCACGCTTTTGTAGTTCTGATTCCCAGGTAACTTTTTAGTTTCAACTAGAGAAACAACACTGCACAGGAAAGAGTACTTTTTATGTGACATCAAGGCATAAATGTCCACAGTGGCGGGAAAATAAAGATAATGTTTTTCTATATTTTAAGCTGGAATGAAAATACTTGCGACTTGCGTAGGTTCTCGATAACAAAGGATTGTACTTATCCTATTTCCAACTCGTAATTGATAATGGATGCAAAGAAATTACATTGTGAATCCTGGGGGGGCCTGTAGGACTTTTGAAAACAAACATTCAGGTAACAAATAAACCAAAGTTCAGAGCGTAGAATGTCTTTTAGTCGAACATTGAATTCCCGATCTATAATTTGTTAAGGCCTCTGTCAGAGAATTTGCAAAGTTATGACACAAATGACAGCACCAGTGATGCTTTGAAGCTCGAGCTAGTTTTAAAGCTAAATCTGTGATATTCAAGCCTGATCACTGAACGCCTGTACTTAATGAAGAAATCTGAGGAAATCAGTGCTAGAGACCAAAGAACCATGTTGTCACCACCAAGATGGCCACCTGCCAGTTGTACACTGTAATTGCAGGGATACTTGACCAGATTCTTACACGAATCCCCACGGGAATACAGAACTATAGACACGTAATATTCGTCATAAAACACCATCGGGTGTTGCTTCTTTGGGCACGATGACCTGGAAAGATTGTTCTAAGGACGAAGTGCATGATCTGAACATAAACCTCAACAAAGAAATTGTTAAACATATTTAATACTGAGAAAACTTTTGGATTTTTTCATTTTTAGAAATTAATACAATTCGGACAAAATACAAGGAAATAAAATAATAACCAAAATATAACATCAAGACTTCCGATTCTCAGATCACTCATAGAAATTAGTTTCACCAAAATAGTCTGAAGTATTCAACTTCATCAAAGCATGTCTATAATAAGCTTCTGAGTGTTGTGAAACTGATAAATTTTAACAAATCTTAAAACAGCTTCAATCATGTTCCCTCAATCTACTCTTATTTCTCAATCAATCAACAGTGACTGATATTACATAACATAACAGGTTCAAAAGTGAGAAATAGAAAATTAGGATATAAATAACCAAGACGAAAACATCAAAGTGAAAACGAACCTGTTTTTGTCAACAGTGAGAACAGAATTAGTTGTGTTGCATCTATAAGAAATGCAATCAAAGAGGTAATCTGACAGCATCTTGTTAGACTGCAGTGATCTGCTTCATTTCGTTAGAGTGCCTATCCCATTGAGTGAACTCTCTTTCCCTCAGATTATAGGACTGCTTCTCAGCCCTCTGATTGTTGATTGTTTTCTGGTTGTTTAACACTGCACTATTCAAGCTATATGGCGGCTGTCTTTAAAATCTGTATCAAAACTATGATCAACATCATGAGCATCGATCTACGCAATTTGGATCCAAAAACATGAGTAAACCAAGTCAGCAAGCCTGAGCACCCGATCCCGTTAGTCGACAAGCATGGGTTGCTGAAGACCAGTTCTAACCCAGATGTTCAAGGGTTTGGAATGCCATTAGTTTCTTCTGAAGTCAAAATGGTCAGTGAAGCAATCCCAATGGTCAGTGAAGCAATCCCTATGGTCACCTCTGGTCACCTCTTACAACAAGCATGGGCTTCAAAGATCAATTCTAACCTGGATCTTCACGGGTCTCTGTCCTCTGTGTGAGACTACCAAGATCACATGATTATGGGTGTGGTGAAACGGAATATTTGCACAGCAGTTCTCAGGAGTTCACAGAATGACATAACAAATAATGATGAAACAACTTTCTCTTTGGCAATATCTCATTCCTTAAGATTTATTGACTCACAGTCAATATTGCCATTATCTAATTATAGCAGACAACCGCAAGTCGCCAAGAAACATTAATATATTTCAACAAAGCAGGTATCTTTCATAACAAATCTGCTGAGTGAGCTGGAACATTTTGTGTTAATCACTTGTATCACTGCATGTTTACATATTGGGAGGAAACCTTCTTGTTTGTTGTTTTCTGTCTGAATCACAATAATAGCATCACAAGACCAGACAATCCAGTGATTGACATCGTGAGCAGATATATTCTTATCAGGAATCAGTGATACAATATATAAATAGAGGAAACACAGGTTATGATACAATATCAGCATGTGAGCAGTTGTCGCAAAGTCAGGTGATTGTGAAAAAGACCCATGCTAATGTTTCAAAGTTGCAGTGGCTTCCCATGGGAAAAATCGGGCTCTCAGGTAACTTATTCACACAAGTAACCAGTTTTTTGTCAGAGAAGTTTAGGCAAACTTGATGACCCCTAGAAACACTCTTGTAAAGTTGATGTCACAGGCCATTGTTTTGTTAGTGTATCTGGCAACAAAATCTAATGAATTGTGTCATTGGGTGATGTTTTAGTAATCTTGTAAAAAAAGGAATTGCTTCCCTCCAGTATGGCACTGAATATATACTGCCAAGGTACCTTGAAAAAGTTCACTACTGTTATTTTGATACAAATCATAGGTTTATAACTGATGATATAAACCAAGGGTTCTTATTCGTGCAGTGGCAAGGGTTAAACCAAGGGTTTTTCAATTCTTATTATGTATGATGATTTAGCAATAATCTGGATGTACTGGTTTCACAGGTATATGTGTTTTGATAGATTTGTATTCGGCATACTAAAACTGAAACGGCAGCATGAACATTACAACATAAATTACCTGCCCTTGATTTTCCTAAACATGTTACAGACCAACCAAACAATGAGATGAAAAAGGAAATTGGTCATGGAGTAACATGAAAACATCATTTCCATCAAAACGAATTTTAACGGCTTTCTTCAGCATGTCGTTCAGATTTGCAAAGTTGAATTTCTTGCAAAAACTATATTGGAATCAATGTGCTTAACCCATATGTTGCTGATATTGACAACACAGTGTTTGTAACTCACATTCTGATTGGTCTTATAGACAGAGCAGCATAGCAAATCAGACTGGCTAACAAGCTCAAGGGAGGTAATATGAGACTGCCCGAACCATATACTAGCCAATGTTTACTGAAACATGAGCCTTGGAGATAATGCAAGAAAGGTGCGACTTCCAGAAAAGCCTATTGAGGGTATGTAAGTCAATCACAGACAGACGAAACCCTTGACCATTATCTGTCCATGTCATGGGGCTGTGTTGAAGTACTGGATTTACTCCTTCTCAAGTATGCCAACAAACTTTCTGCTTGGGGGCTGAGGGAATGGGAGTGTTGAGATTCATCATGGCTGTTGGGGTCGGCTTGACAGCTGTCACTGACATGATCATGAGACTGATCCACGTCACCGATGCAGCTTGAGGCGATGGTGTCCGGCTTGTCTTGTTCTCCTGTATTCAGTCTGTGTGTCTGGCAGGTGGTGCTGCTGTACAGCTTGACATCCAGGCGGGGAACTGAGAGGGCAGGGTTGGGTGTGGTCATTAGGCTGCAGACTGTGATGTACAGGGGGAATTTGAAGCTGTTCTCCAGGCTTAGCAATACCACTGACTGCAAGGAAGCAAAATACTAACTTTGTACAGCACATCAACCTCAAAATAATGAAGAGGAGCAAATTCAAAGTGTACATGATAAAAGCACAATGTTTTCTCTTCTTCGGGGTCCTCCTGTCTCAGCTCTACGATGACAACTCTAATGATGACTAAAGACAGTCATACCGGCCAGATCACTTTACACAATTCAAAATGCAAAACCATTTGTGGGATGAAACCTGTTACATAATTGCAGGATGTTTCACAACAAAAAAGTTTATCTCTTATACACAATATGTGGTTATTGGTATGTGTGACCTATATAATGTATGTTTACATTTTACAACAGTAACAACTAATTTAACTATTATTATGTATATTGACGGAGTAGAACTCTCTGAATTTGTACCCAGTATTTACAAATATTGTCTGTGTGCAGGACCAAAAGGCTTTGAAAATATCCTCGGGGCTGTTCTTTTGAAAGCTTTTTTTGTCTTGTGGATGCCAAAGGTTTATCATTGTCTTCAAACAGGAATCGTGTTCTGTAAATGTGAACCTGTTATATCAAAATGGTTTGAGGTGTGTTTGTATACATTTGAAAACTGAATCATGACAGATCATTAATGCATGACGTGACAATGCATGATATGTTTGTTTGTTGTATATAGCTGCACTCAAAAAAGGTTCCAGCTATAGGACAGCCTAAATATTACTCAATGATTACATATATTGGGCTGAGTACTGAGAAACATCTGGATGAGCCCAAGTCTCTTTTCAACATATATTCCCATCCATGACAACAATGACATCAACACATGGCAACACAGGACAGGGTAATGGTAATTGGATCATCACTCCATCATGTCCCTGGCTGTCAGAGAAACAAGATGTTGACAGATAACAGAAAACACAATCACTAATACCTACAGACTAGTAACACATACATGAAGGTCATTCTGATTTTCTTTCACACTTCCTCTCTCAGAATGTCGGGCATAACAACAAACATGGACAGCCCACTCAATCAATGTCAAGCTAATGTTGAGGATACGAGACAAATGTTCAAATTCTACCCTTCTATATACGGAATGATTCCTGTCTTCGAAGATATAACAGACATCATATTTAGCATTTATGAAGCCAGCCATTTTGGTCCTACATTTCTGATGTATTGTACATGTTGCATGCATGGTTGGAGAAGCATGAACAAACAAACAAAAAAATGTAGCTAAGCAAACCTCATTTTTGTCAAGACTGATCTTCTTGATGCCGGTTGACTTAGTGGCCGTGACACAACCATGCTCGTTGATGTTGGAAGCTGTGAGTCTGTAACCATGGTAACATATCATGAGACTCCTTCAGAAAACTAACAGTACCAGCAAATATGGCTCCCACAAAACTGTAAATATTAAATACTTCGAAATATTAAAAGGTTTAACCCCATCATTTAATAATATAATGAGGGAGTGAGTTTAGTTTTAAGCAGCTTTTAGCAATATTCTAGCAATATCATGGCAGGGGACACCAAAAATGGCTTCACACATTGTACCCATGTGGGGAATCAAACCCAGATCTTCGGCGCGATGAGCGAATGCTTTAACCACTAGGCTACCCCACCACCCCTTTAATAATATAGAGATCTGGTCAAGAAACATTAAAATAACATGTCTTTAACAATAATCATGACAATGCAGTTACATAGGGGCCTGAATGGTCTAAACCACGAGACCTGCATTCCCAGTCATGACAGGTTCTACTTATCTTGGGAATGAATCCTGCTTTTGTCCAGATTATGATGTGATGTGAAATGGGGTTTAACTTTGTGTTCAGGATTATTGTATTCAAATAGCAGTGTGCATGCACATGTGTGTAAAGATCTGCTTAAAGCTGCTTGTGAGTGAGTGAGTTTAGTCCATCAGTACCACACATGTCACTTTCCTCCCACATCAGGGGCAGTGGGGTAGCCTAGTGGTTAAAGCACTAGCTCATCATGCTGAAGACGCGGGTTTGATTCCCGACATGAGTACAATGTGTGAAGCCTATTTCTGGTGTCCCCCGCCGTGATATTGCTGTAAGCGGCGTAAAACCAAAATCACTCACTCACTCCTCCCATGTCAGGCTGGCATTCTGTATAGGCCTAACAACGCTCTTCAAAGCATCGAAACCAAAGTCACTCCAACTCCTCAAAAACCACGAGAATATTTTTAAAGTATAGGAAAATCTCAGGAAAAAATGTAATCTCTCGCAAGTTAATAATTATTAGAAACAAATTCTGAACAAAAGATTTAATCTCATACCCCAGCTGTTTATGTGTTGTATCACTTTAATTAGGTCGCAAGATGGATTCTCATCGTAATATTTGTCAACCAAACTTTAGCGTCAACCATGTTTTAAGTTTATGTTGTATATCTTCCGCATATCTGAGAAAAACACCAAATGACTCAGTATAGGCCCAGTATAAACCCACTGTAGTCTTAGACACTAGGAATGTATGTGCATATCAACATACCTGCCCAACAATATTACTATATCAGAGCAAGTTAAAAACATCATGGATAGTATGGACTACTACTTCAATGTAATGTAATCACAATACCCCTGATAGTCAGTCACCCCCAACAAGATGTACAGGTGGGCAGGGGCTGACACATCCTGCATAGTTTGAGAGACCCATCTGATATACATGGACCTGTGGGGCTGCAGGCTAACTGTACGGGGTAGTTTGAGAGACCCACCTGATATACATGGACCTGTGGGGCTGCAGGCTGACTGACCCGGGGTAGTTTGAGAGACCCATCTGATATACATGGACCTGTGGGGCTGCAGGCTGACTGACCCGGGTAGTTTGAGAGACCCACCTGATATACATGGTCCTGTGGGGCTGCAGGCTGACTCACCCAGGGTAGTTTGAGAGACCCACCTGATATACATGGACCTGTGGGGCTGCAGGCTGACTGACCCAGGGTAGTTTGAGAGACCCACCTGATATACATGGACCTGTGGGGCTGCAGGCTTACTGACCCGGGGTAGTTTGAGAGACCCACCTGATATACATGGACCTGTGGGGCTGCAGGCTGACTGTGCCGGGTAGTAGTTTGAGAGACCCACCTGATATACATGGACCTGTGGGGCTGCAGGCTGACTGACCCAGGGTAGTTTGAGAGACCCACCTGATATACATGGACCTGTGGGGCTGCAGGCTTACTGTACTGGGGTAGTTTGAGAGACCCATCTGATATACATGGACCTGAGGGGCTGCAGGCTGACTGACCCAGGGTAGTTTGAGAGACCCACCTGATGGGTAGGGCTTTGAGAGACCCACCTGATATACATGGACCTGTGGGGCTGCAGGCTGACTAACCCGTGGTAGTTTGAGAGACCAACCTGATATACATGGACCTGTGGGGCTGCAGGCTGACTAACCCGTGGTAGTTTGAGAGACCCACCTGATAAACATGGACCTGTGGGGCTGCAGGCCTACTGTACTGGGTAGTTTGAGAGACCCACCTGATATACATGGACCTGTGGGGCTGCAGGCTTACTGTACGGGGTAGTTTGAGAGACCCACCTGATATACATGGACCTGTGGGGCTGCAGGCTGACTGACCAGGGGTAGTTTGAGAGACCCACCTGATATACATGGACCTGTGGGGCTGCAGGCTGACTGTACGGGGTAGTTTGAGAGACTCACCTGATATACATGGACCTGTGGGGCTGCAGGCTGACTGACCCGGGGTAGTTGAGGCTGGAGGAGTTGTTTCTCATCAGGGAAATTAATCTGTGATCATTACACAAAGTATTGAAGTATTATGACATGTGCAATAAGGCAAAGTTGTATTCATGCATCTTGGAGTAAGTGAATCTTACAGAACTTTTTACAGTATTTCAGTCATATCACATTGTGTCAGCTAGAAGGAAGCCTGAGGTATTGCATGTCTTCGATGTTTTCCACTTTAGTGAAACCATTAGCATGGGGATTGTCATTCAAACAATAATAACAATAATAATCTTGGTAAATCTAGAATTCTAACAAATAATCATAGCATCCTGGCATACCTAAGGGATACAACTTAGTGGTACCTTTTATGACTGTTCATCTAGAGCATAACAACAAAGTTCATTAATCAAGAAATATTTATTAAAGAAAAGAAGCTATTCTGTTTGCACATGATGTTAGACTTGACCATACAGTGATCAACATCCTATAATATCTTAGAGAAAATGGGATAATGTAAACACATAAGCTTTGGGGCAATGAAAAGATTCTGCTCTTTGTAGAATACCAGGAAATACATGGAAATCTACATAAACTGATTCTTGAACAGTTTCTGTTGTTATTCACATATTTTTCATCAACAAAACTTGTAATGTAATTCATCCAATGTATTGCAATACAGGAGGTGTAAGTCAAGGTATTGCATCATGAGCATTGTATCGCGATACAGTACTGTCCTGCTGTATGGTTACACCACCAATCATGACATAACTGACCTGCTTTTATAGGTGATAAGCGCATCTATACCATAGCTGTAGCCAACCCACCGCCAACAGAACTGAAAACACATTCAGTTAGTCCACATTACAAGCATGCTATATTATAGTACAGGATTATGTGATTGTATCAGTGTTTGCCCAAGGCATAAACATTTAGGAGTCATCATGACTTCCTGGTGTCATGAGAGGGAGTCATGGACAAGATTCATGGACTTCAGTTTGGAACTTTCATCAAGACATCAACTGTGATTGTTTAATAACAAAAAACAAGGTAAGGCAGGTCAGGTATTAAATCAGCACTAAGCAGTTAACTGGCAAACATTTAGTTTTAGAAGTTTAGATTTTCTGAACAAAGGGCCCAGTAGCATTGCGTCAACATTGATGCAAGCTCCTAAATTCACTGCATATTTGAGATAATTTGTGTGTCAAATACGCAGGTTTTCTTCTGCGTCATGGCAAACACATTGTATACTGATCTATACATACCCAAAATGTTTTAACCATCTCAGGGACTCAGCATCAGATATTGTTGGGATGATGCTATTAGTATTTCTGTTAAGGAAAGGTTATTTTTTTTGCCCACATTTTTTCAGAACTTTGTGGAAAACAATAATGAAAAAAGAAATAATCCCTGCACACCCAAGAATATCAAATGGTCAGTCCCAATAAACCATCCAAATAAGTAGCCAACAATGCTTGCTCAAGAACTACCTCATAACTTTTGTTAGTCACATAACAGTCATGTTATATTAAATGAAAGTTAATGATGTCTAATAACACAGTCAGCATTCTTTTATATACATTAAAACTGCACAACACTGATAAGGTGGGATGGGATTTGATGCAGGTACACCTTACACATGCCACAAGTATCAGTGTACAGTAAGTCCTCTGTGAAACACTAAACCAATATAAAGAAAACCTTGAACTGCTAAATGATACAGAAAGTACCTCACCTCTTCATTGGATGGTAAAACTCGACCACATCTCATGGCTCTGGCCAGAAACACCGGCTCCTCCACATCCTGGGGCCTGCATCACAGCAGTCAGTATTAAACATGTACCAACACATCAAGTCTGACAGAACCAAGGAATATATATAAGGAACATTCACCTCCTGCCCCTCTGCAGCCACTTTCCAGCAGCCAATACTTGTCCCCATAATATAAACCTGAAGTGTGCTTCTCACTATATATTAAGCATCACTTGTTTTCCCGGAATAACCGCATTTGAGGTTTTTGTTTGCTCTCAGGTTTTACTTTTTGTAATTATTTTTTCCAAACTCTATATGAACATCAACATTCAAATGATATACGAGTGTTTGAAATCAATTGAAAAATATCATCCAAGATTAATTTCAAAGTGCAAATGTTTTCTCAAGCAAGATTGGAACCACGTATTTCAGGTTATTGAGTGGATGCTCTACCTCACGGCCACCGAGCCGACGAAGACATTGGGGTTGAATTATCTATTTATAGTTACTGTCATTAAATTGATTTTACTTGCGCTTCTGTTATTGTTATGTAGCTTCATTAAATTATCATCTACATTATAATTATCCATCATTGACGGTTTATATGTTAGGGAAAACACTTCCCCTCGGTTTTGGTAGAGAATTTAAAACCTTGGGAGGAGGGAAATCCCTCGGGGCTAAAGTCCCTAGGGATTTCCCTCCTCCTACGGTTTTACATTCTCTACCAAAACCTCAGGGGCGTGTTTTCTCCTATGCTTAGCTCCTGAAATTAGGAGACTTCAGGGTTCCTTATACTTTATAGAATTATTTGCATTAATATTACACAGACCCTTGTTTAAGGATTAGTTATTAATCAACATAATAACTGTAAATCATGGAATCAATGACACAAATTTAAATGTCCCTTGCTCACCACTATAAAGTGACACACTGATTGACCGTTTCCATTCTATCTGTACATATTACAAGTCACACCACTGTCAAAGAATTGCTAGCATCATGTGACCCAAGGTTAGAAGTTTTCAAACATTAGAATTAACTGATAGCATTTATTCCAATAAATACATCTGACCAAACACAGCATTCCTTTCAGAATGGCAGCTGTCGAAAGCCCATTCCAATCTACCGGTAATTGTATGAGCTCTGAAAAAAATATCTTTACACTGTGGATTCCATCAAATAAACAGTGAATACAAAGTTTTGCATCTGAAACTAATTTGTGCTTATTCTTTCACAAGGAATATAAAATTTACAAATGAACAGAACACATATACATCCTAGATGTTACACTGTAAGGACTGACTGAGTTTGGTTTTACGCCGCTTTTAGCAATATTCCAGCAACATCACGGCGGGGGACACCAGAAATTAGTAAAATCTAAATATTTTTATATTTGTATACTTATCCTGCACTCACTTACTTCCTGCACTTATTGCTTACTGCCTCCTAAAAGCCGCTGGCTTGCCAGACGATGTCAAAAAGACGTAGAACTGCAATCACTTCCTGGTCTCGGCTGCTTACTCGTCTGCGATGCGTCACCGAAGGTGACGCCAGCCACCTTCAGATTATTGCTTAGAAATCCCACAGATGGCAAAACTAAGCGGGAGGTAGCTGATAGCACAGGGTGGGCTCCTTATCATAAGTAGTGCAGGATAAGTATACAAATATAAAAAATATTTAGATTTTACTAAATTTTAACTAATCCTGCACTACTTACTTCCTGCACTTTATCCGACATTGCAGGCTGGAAGGTGGGCGTGTCATCTGAGGGATCGCCTTCGCTACTTAATAGCAGCCAGCTCAATCCGTAATCCCGTGCTCGGGAAGCGCTTGATAACGCTACCTATAACAGAGAGCTTAATTAGCGAGGGACGATCAAGTAGCGGTAATTCGCAAATAAGACTGCGCGCCTTAAATGAAAAGAACCCACTAATTTTAAAGCTGGCGAAGCTTAAGGAATGCAGCAAAAGCATGGACTTGAAAAACAAGGATAACTCCTTAACTGACATACCCTAGTTGTTTGTGAAGAAAAACAACTCATTTCCCACATGGTGGTCCGTGGAAGGAAACACAAGGCAGGAGGGTCACTTTCTTCGGGAATGGCGAAGTTCCTGAGCAACCACCAATGGTCCGAAGCTGTGGACATCATTAACGCCCTGACAGCCATGTCACGCAAGTAATGACTGGCAAACACTGTGTCCGGAATCCGCCAAAAAACAACCTTGCATAATGGATGACACAGTGCAATTACTGTGAAGTGCCATAGTCGAAGCAAGTGCTCGAATCTCGGGGGATGAGAGGACGAGGGAGGGTCCAGCCCAGCCGCTTTATATGCCTGAAGAATGGTTGTTCTTAACCATAAGGCAATAGTGTTTTTGCTGACATCTGACTGCGACGCTCCGACACAGTGGAAGAAATAAACGCTTCCTTTGTACCATACGCGAACTTTGGTGCGATCAATGTAAGTTTTGAGCGCATCGAATCGGACATAAACAATAATTCCGCATCGCCTTCAGAGCCAACAATAGATGATAATGGCGGGATGGAAAACTGGCGATCAGGTTGTCCTGGTAGTTGGTTTTTAGCGATGAAATCCCAACACATACCTAAGTGCACAGAACCATGACGACGACGTTCAAACTTGATCCTAGTCACGTCAAGGGCGTGAACCTCACTCACTCTAGCCGCAGTCGCTAATGACAACAGAAATGCCGTCTTCCTGGATAAATCAGCGCGAGGGAAGCGTTATCAAGAGGTTCATCACGGTGCACCACGGAGATGGTCTAAAACAGTGTTGAGATTCCATGCCGGGCGGATGAAACTTCAACTTCTGGTCTTCAAGTCGAGGAATGAGCCAAGCATGGCCTGTAATTCTGGGATTTTGGAAATCCTTCTGTCAGTGGGAATCGCTAAAACAGAGCTAATTGCCGCCAAATACGTGGCAATGGTGCCTCCCTTCAGACGCCCTGGACGCTCGGAGATAAAGTAAGAAATCTGCTATGAACTGAGGAGACACAGTCAGCGGATCCTGCTTCTTGGTAACACAAAAAACGCTCAAACGACTGCCACTTGTCGCCATACAAATGTCTAGTAGAAGTTCTGTCGCCCGTCGCGAATGGCTTTGGCTGCTCTAGCCGAAAACCCTTAGCACTCAGTGCTTTCTGCAAATGGTCCATGCAGATTGAATCGGTCTGGAGCCGGATGCGGAAGATGGCTGTGAGGGTGCACTAGAACGTTCCTCCACGGGGTAGAGGGAAGGGATCTCCTACCACTAGACTTTGTAGAACGGAAACCAGTTCCTGGCTGGCCACCAAGGCTACACCAAAATTAGTCGTAGCAAGTTGTCTCCTTGACTTTGCGCGAGAACTTTGGGTAATAGAACTGGTGGCGGGGAGCGCATCTGCCGCGGAAGTCCCTCCCCATGATAGGCTGAGAGCATCCACCGCCCAAGCCGCTGGATCTGGGACTGGGGACACATACACTGGCAGTTGATGGTTTTGGCTGGTGGCAAACAGATCTATGTTTGATAACCCAGTGCGTGACTTAAAAGAGTGAAGGCCTCCTTGTGTAGCATCCACTCCGTGGGAGCAACTCAGTCGGGTCTCGAGAGCGCCTGCTAGTATATTGCGGCACCCCTCGAATATGCCGAACTCTCAACAGAATGTGGAGATCGGCCGACCAGTTGAAAGAGCCGAAATGTCTGATCGAGGAGAAACTGTGAGTGTGTTCGACCCTTGCCTTCGTGATGTACCATACGACCGCGGTGTTGTCTGTAGCCACTAGAAGACAAGTTCCTCGTGAGTCGATGTGCCCAATGATGAATAGCGAGGATCACGGCCTCCAACTCCAGACTGTTTATATGCCAGTTGATGTGTTGACCTCACCACAGGCCGGAGGCTGTCTGGTCGTGTAAGTGAGCTTCCAACCCTGCAGGAGGCGCCCACGAACAGTTGGCAATCCGGAGGCTGCTCTGTCAAAGAGACTCCTCCTAAGACGCTCAATGGGCGAGTCCACCAAAGAAGATAGCGATGTAACTGAGGTGGAAGGCAAAACCGCTGATGAACGCCTGCCCGGATTTAATGTATGGTTGAAGAAACCGCTGCAGAGGACGGTTGAAGACGCCCTCTGCTGGTAAGATCCTGCGCCGACGCCAACAATCCCAGAAGTGACTGCCACTCTCTGAGGGACAGAGGTTGGGAGAGTGCACGCGGGAATCAGAGACTGAATCTTGTCCCACCTGTCCAGGGAATCTGAACCAGGTTCTTGTCCGCCTGGAAATGGCCTCCGATGAACGCCAGAGTGTGAGTCGACAAGCCCCGATTTGTCCAAGTTGACCAGCCACCCTAGTTGGCGCAACAGACGAAGGGTGAAATCCCGCTGTTGTATAAGAAGTAGACGGTCTAACAGGTGCATAAGGCAATCGCCCAGGTAATGGTCGAAATTGATGCCCCTCAAATGTAGATACCGGGAATAGGAGTTGTGATACGTGGTGAACAACCACGGGTCGCTGAAATTCCAAATGGGAGGACAGCCCATTGGAAATGTTGATTGTTGAAAATAAAGCGCAGGTACTTCCTGTCGCTGGGGCGATTGGAACATGGAGGTATGCATCCTGTAGGTCCAGGCTGATGAGAAAGTCGCTGACGATACCATAGATTTGAGGTATTCGAGGGACGCCATTCGAAGTGCGGAGGACGCTCCAGGAAAGTCTCGCTGAAATAGGACAGATTGTGAATCATCCTCATTTTCGCGGACCCTTTCTTCGGCACTAAGAATATTGGAGAATAAAACCCTGGTGTTATGATGGGATACGGAGGAGTTCGATGGCTCTTTCTCCAACAAAATCGCTATGTTCTCCGCTAGAAGGTTGTGTTGAACCTGAGAGTGATTGTGCCGAGCGGAACATTGTCAGAGGTGGATCGGAGAGGAGGGGAGCCAAACCCCTGCCTCAATATATCGGGTGACGATGGATCCTCTAGGATGGACCAATTTTCCCAAAAGATCCCTATTCTCCCACCTACCGTGTAGGATAAACTGGGACGACTGGAGGTGGAGTGTCCAGTCGCATGCGTCCCTCACTTCACTTGCCCTTCACGCCTCGCCGCCTCTGGGCGGAGCACGGCGACGCTGATATCCACCCCCTGTCTGATCTAGGCTTGGCACCACGCCCCCGCCACGACGGCGCTTGAGTTTCTGGCACGCCGAACAGACGGTCGCCGAGGCTGGTAGGTGTTGATGACGTGGAGGCAGGACGCTGTCCCTTTGAAACGCTTTCAAGGCAGTCTCCCTTTGGCAAAATCACACACCTGCCGATAAACATCATGAATGGCATCGCTAAACAGTGACGACGATGACCAGGGTTGGTGGAATAATTTCCGCTGAAATTCAATCCCATGAAGAAAAGGAGAGGAAGCCTTGCCGACGAATTACGCACGCGCTGGCAAGCCGACCTAAGGTGTTCACGCAGGTCAGTGATCACTTTACCCTGCCATAGCATCATAGTTGTAAGATGATCCAGTCGATCCGGATTTATTTCCTTAAGATCCTGAGTGATGGCATCAGTCGCTGACGCCAATGCCGATATAGGGCGGAGCATACGCTTTAAGCTCTAAGTCCAAAGCCGCTGACCCTTGTATCCTGAACTTTATAGGAGGACACAGAGGAAGAACCTGTCACACGCTTCATTTCCTCATCCACCTTAGTCACTGTCTGGGCAAAGTCCAAGCCATGAATAGGATAGTCATCACGACGCACTCTAGGCTTTTAATAGTTGGGTTGAGAGACATTCCCGCCAAATCTTCATCAAGGGTAGAGAGAATCTCTGACCGCCTCATGTGCTGGTAACATTAAGGAAGGCGAGTCCCAAATAGTAAGTGACTTTGCAACATCAGGGCCTGGTGAAGGGACTGAGGCTATTAAACGATCAGCAATCCAGTCAAACACGGATCAAAGCCAAGGTGATTAGAGCCCGTGGTCTTCCTCATAGTCTGGGGCAAAGTCCCTCTCAGAGGACGGTGAACTAAACGGCAAAGGGGAACGGCTACGCGCAGACGACGCCTTAGCAGAAGACGCCTTTACTACGAGGTCTCGACCTATGTTCGCCTGCCGAAGACGGGACGAACGGGAGACGCTAAGCGAGGCACAGGAGCAGACAAAGTTGACAAGATAGGCACCGATGCTGGAGGGGGCAGAGGCTCAAAATCGCCGGAGGTGGCAAAGGTGGCAAAGGCGCTGGAGGCCTCGTGAGGGGAGAGGCCGATGTAGCTGGTGGCATAAACGCATAGGCGCTGATGTACCGGGCTTGACCTGATAGTAAAGTCAAGAGAGTGCTGAGCGGGATACATCAAACTGCTGGTGGCCGTGATGGCGCTTTGCATCATAGACGCTTGAGGCATTGGAAACCCCGTGATGTGGTTGATACGCGATAAGGCGCCTGCCCCGGAACACTGGCTGGGGTGTCTGATACGGGCGAAACTGCTGGCCCATCGGTCGCTGTGGAGATGACATCGGCAACAGCGAGGAGGTGAGGGAGTGCTGCCGGTTGGTTACCCAGGCCACCGATCCAAGCGCCGACGAAGCTGTAAGCCGCCGGCTTCAAACGCTGTAACACCCGCCACATAAGCGCGAAGACATAATCTGAATGCTGGTGACAGGCGATTCGCTGACACAGTTGACGCCGCAACACTTGACGAGACGAGTGGTCGCCAAGACCGTGTCGGCGTAGTAGACATACTCTTCCGCCTCTGTTGTCCCAGGCTTCTTAACAACCTGTAGATAAACGGAGAAACTCTTGGGTGATAGCACAGCGCAGCTGGCACATTTATGGCCAGAGGTACATTGAGTAGTACATTTCAAACATCGGGATGAGGGTCTTTACGAGACTTCCCACCTCGACAATGTATACAACTGGCGCTTGTACATAGATCTGCAATGAAGCAGAAAACCCAGTAAACGCATTACATACAAAGTAATGAATATAACAGCAAAGTTGAGAACAAAAGTCTCAAAATAACTGAAAGTTTAAGAGACCATAATACAGGCACAATAAATATACCACTATTATATGGTATAGTATATAAGCCTGAACTAAATGAAACACAACGACGATCAAATACGCAAAGTGTTTTAATGGCGAAGTGAAAGTGTGATGACGGGACCGTATATAAACGAACGACATCACTACACAGAACTACTGAATGACAAAAAGAAAGTGAAAGATAATACCTACACTTCTCGTGAGAGGTACAAAAACAAAATACACACAAAGTCAGTCTTTATTAATGCTTCACAAAATATAATCCCGTGAGGATACAAGTTGAGCTGGCAAACAACACGCCTAACGAGGCGCGCGCTATGAAAAGCAATAATCTGAGGTGGCTGACGCCACCTTCCGTGACGCATGCGCAGACGAAAAAGCAGCCGAGACCAGGAAGTGATTGCAGTTCTACGCCTTTTGACATCGCCTGGCAAGCCACGCCGAGCCGTAAGCAATAAGTGCAGGAAGTAAGTAGTGCAGGATTAGTTAAAACTGCTCTCCAGGTAACACTCGTCTCCTAAAGAAGGAAGTTGCCCATTGTATTCAGTACATTCCTCAATGACCTGTCACATGTGTGCACCATTGAGACAAACGTGTATATATAACACATTGAGCTGAGTGTGAGCTTGAGTGTGTGTACAACATCGAGTCATGTGTACATTGTGGCAGCACATGTGTACAACATCAAGTCACATGTGTACAACATTGAGCTGAGTGTATATAACATTGTGGCACATGTGTACAACATTGAGCTGAGCATGTACAACATCGAGTCACATGTGTACAACACTGAGCTGAGTATGTACAACATCGAGTCACATGTGTACAACATTGAGCTGAGTGTGTACAACATTGTGGCACATGCATGCAACATACCTCACATGCTGCTCACATTGTCAATTGAGAAACAAACAGTTGTGTGATCCAATCTGAACACTTGCTGACTTCCCTTTCACTGGAACCAGGCCGCTGCTTGATTGGTTTGTTAAAATTAATGTGACTGTATCTCAAAGTGGCCTTATGTGTTCATGTGTGAAACAACAACATTGTGTGTAGTACCGAGATAGAAGAAATTTCAAAAGGAAATACTTCCATCATTTACTTCATGATTAGGTGTGTCATGTATGAATGCATCATGAAACACAAGACCCTAATCTAGGATGTGAAACGATAAACAGTGGATCTTGGCACAACCAAAGGGGGCGGTGGAGTGGCCTAGTGGTTGAAGTGTTTGCTTGTCACGCCTAAGACCCGGGTTCGATTCCCCACATGGGTACAATGTGTGAAGCCCATACCTGGTGTCTCCCACCATGATACTAGTGGAATATTGCTTAAAGCAGCGTAAAACCAAACTCACTCACACACTCACTGGTACAGCCAAGGAATACAACTCTGCACAGTGAAAATTCAGCACCTTTGATTATGGAGCATGTAAACTCATCTTTGCTGCCATAATATGTACAAGTCCTTGAAAGAAAACTGTACATCAGTTCGGTGATTTACAATTTGTGTATGCATATGGTGCAAAAATTTCGTTTAGATTGATCAGTACACAATGCTCTGAATATCTACTTTAAACAGCTACTACACCTGTCAGTTGCTTGAAAAAGGAATCCACATTTGACATCAGCTGGCAGCGACGTCCAGACCAGGTAGGATTATGTCTCAGGAATATCCACTTTTGAGGAAGCATTAACAGACAGAACAAGAAAATTAATCTGCTTAAAATCAGATCTCTCACCAATACCACTGTGCATAAAAGTTCCACCTGCGAAGATCAGGGTTAGAACTGATCTTCAGCAACCCATGCTTGTCATAAGGTGACTAACAGGATCGGGTGGTCAGGCTTGCTGACTTGTTGACACATGTCATTGTATCTCAATAGCGTAGATCGATGCTCATCCTGTTGATCACTGAATTGTCTGGTCCAGACTCGATTATATACAGACTGCTGCCATAAAGCTGGAATACTGCTGAGTGTGGCATTAAACAACAACCAAACTAAGCATAAAAGTCCCACAAACACACAGGGGATAGCTTCAGGTGCACCTCTAACCAAATGATCAGCACAGAGGCATCTATAGTGCCAACCATTCACTGCAGAATATTTGTTGCATCTAAATAAAATATACCCAGGCACTTCCAAATTTAAAATGATAAAGCCATCACAATTATACATGAATACATCCAGTCATTTCTAAACGCCATGGCATCTAAACCCAAACCGTTCTACTAAGGACAGCATATTTGTGTTTTGTGCGGGTGTTCTTCTGTCAAGATCAAATTAATATACTGTGATGGCTGAGGAATGAAGCTTTAGCCAATTCATTTGAATCGTGACATTTGATTAATGGAAAAACCTTTGCGTGCTTCATTTAGATTTGGTGTCTGAGGTTCATCAGAGTTCAACTGGCATGACCCCCTCTTGATCTCCCTCAAAACATCTGATTATAATAGAAGACATAATTAGTTCAGGTCTACATGGTCTGAGTACTTGGTGTGAGCACTTGGTCTGTTACACATTGTTATTTAACTAAGTATTCATTTTGAAGTTTTCCTTAGGCGGCCAATGTTAAATGTTTGGGTTTGTGTTGAAGCACCAGTATCTGTTACTGATTCTTTGATCAGTATTCTAGATTCTGGAGAGTAAATAAATATATAGTGATAATGGTGAAAGAATCTAAATCAACATGTCACTCTATGCAATAAACAGCAAGTTGTTGTCAATAAGGTGATATGCTGTGTTACATTTGTTACATAAGTGTTCATAAAGTTTATCATAGACTTATCAATATCGTAGTGCTACGAATGTTTTGTGGATCAGAACCCTGATGTTGAACATAACTGTGTGACAAGCTGGTGATGAAGAAAATGGAGAGTCTAAATGTAAACATTAGGCAAATTACACCATGATATGAAAGATGTGTTTGGGCAAGTTACCTTCTTGAGGAGAGTGTAGAGATCCATCTCGACCTGCAGCACCCACAGTTCCCCTGATCCCACCAGTGTTGGCATCAGATCCTCACTGGAACAGTCAGCCACCAGGAGTAAGTCATAGTTGCTCAACACAATACATGGAGCACCCTACAGGTTGGCACATTTTCTGCTTCATATATTAAGTTGTATGTGAAGAAACCTAAGAGAGCTGTTCATAAGTTTGATGTCCATCAGGAAATATATTTTATAACTTTCACCTCCCTCCCTGGCAAGGTTACCATGTGGCACTATACCTGATATCCTTGAGTATAGCCAGGCTACTGGGTGGCACTATACCTGATATCCTTGAGTATAGCCATGGTACAGCGTGGCACTATACTGATATCCTTGAGTATAGCCAGGCTACTGGGTGGCACTATACCTGATATCCTTGAGTATAGCCAGGGTACAGCGTGGCACTATACTGATATCCTTGAGTATAGCCAGGCTACTGGGTGGCACTATACCTGATATCCTTGAGTATAGCCAGGGTACAGCGTGGCACTATACTGATATCCTTGAGTATAGCCAGGTAAAAGAGTGGCAATATACCTGATATCCTTGAAGTATAGCTAGGTTACTAGAAGACACTAAGTATAGCCAGGTTACTGGGTGGCGCTATACCTGATATCCTTGAGTATAGCCAGGTTACTAGGTGGCACTATACCTGATAACCTTGAGTATAGCCAGGTCACTAGGTGGCACTATACCTGATATCCTTGAGTATAGCCAGGTTACTAGGTGGCACTATACCTGATAACCTTGAGTATAGCCAGGTTACTAGGTTGCACTATACCTGATATCCTTGAGTATAGCCAGGTTACTGGGTGGCACTATACCTGATATCCTTGAGTATAGCCAGGGTACAGAGTGGCAATATACCCGATATCCTTGAGTATAGCCAGGTTACAGAGGGGCACTATACCTGATATCCTTGAGTATAGGCAGGTTGCCAAGTGGCACTATACCTGATATCCATGAGTATAGCCAGGTTGCCAAGTGGCACTATACCTGATATCCTTGAGTATAGCCAGGCTACTGGGTGGCACTATACCTGATATCCTTGAGTATAGCCAGGGTACAGCGTGGCACTATACTGATATCCTTGAGTATAGCCAGGTAAAAGAGTGGCAATATACCTGATATCCTTGAAGTATAGCTAGGTTACTAGAAGACACTAAGTATAGCCAGGTTACTGGGTGGCGCTATACCTGATATCCTTGAGTATAGCCAGGTTGCCAAGTGGCACTATACCTGATATCCTTGAGTATAGCCAGGTTGCCAAGTGGCACTATACCTGATATCCTTGAGTATAGCCAGGTTACTGGGTGGCACTATACCTGATAACCTTGATTATAGCCAGGTCACTAGGTGGCACTATACCTGATATCCTTGAGTATAGCCAGGTTACTGGGTGGCACTATACCTGATATCCTTGAGTATAGCCAGGTTACTAGATGACACTATACCTGATATCCTTGAGTATAGCCAGGTTAAGAGATGACACTATACCTGATATCCTTGAGTACTGCCAGTTTACTAGGTTTCTGCAGGGGTTTTTTTAAAAATGAGAAAAATGCTCTCACTGACATGAATCGTGCTGTTACCACAAAGGGAAATATCTCTATCTATCACTATTTATCAAACATAGTACGAGACTAAGAAATGAACTGTGAAACAATTTAAAACGCTAATTTTACATTTGCCTGTCATTTTGTTCTCTCCATTATGTGTATTGTATATTTTCTGTATATTGTATATTATTTACAAATGTATATATGTATGTGGGCCGGAGGCCTTAAACACAATAAACGTTCTTGTTTTTTACTTTGACTTGACTAAGTGATACCTGATAACCTTGAGTATAGCCAGGTTACTAGATGACACTATACCTGATATCCTTGAGTATAGCCAGGTTACTAGATGACACTATACCTGATATCCTTGAGTATAGCCAGGTTACTAGATGACACTAAACCTGATATCCTTGAATATAGCCAGGTCACTAGGTGGCACTATACCTGATATCCTTGAGTATAGCCAGGTTACAGAGTGGCACTAAACCTGATATCCTTGAGTATTGCCAGGTTGCTGAGTAGCACTATACCTGATATCCTTGAGTATAGCCAGGTTGCTGAGTAGCACTATACCTGATATCCTTGAGTATAGCCAGGTTACTGGGTGCCATGACATTGTGCAACATCCAACCTTGACAGAAGGTAGCTACATCAGGGAGGGAGTACATCTGACTGGCAGCCTGGTATGTCACTGCCGTGCTGGAACTGATGTAAAACACATGGGTAATATACACATGGCAGAAAATACCCAATAGTCACTGAATCATGTTGTGCTACATGTCACTTATATTCCAACACTATGTAAATAAGATGAACAATGAAACTTTGGGCTGACATCACCATTCAAAACAAACAAAAAGGTATGTCTATCCTGTAGGCTTAAGCCTTGTAATCTGTTGATATTTCTCCACAATCTTTAAACCAGGAAACTTGTTATTAATATTATTGTTGATATGGTTAAATTAATACCAACTTTGCTACTGAAAACTTACAAAATAATTTTACTTGATTGAGAAGAATTATTTTTCTTTCTCAGAACATCAAAATTTCTGAAGATAGTTGCTTCTCTTTGTAATGAAATCTCAACCAGGACTCCTATTATCAATGATCATATCATGACGCCAACATCAGACCAGACATGAGAACAGGTTTACAGTCACAGAACTCACCTGATTGTTTCTTTCATGAACTCAGTGCAGTGCTTTATCAGACCATCCTGAAATAATAATTTGTTCATAACCTACATCAAAGTAATGTGTATCTACCTGCTTCCATCATGTTATGACACATTAATCTGAAGCCTGCATCTACTGAAATGTTTTGGCACAGACTAAAATTATCAGATTGACCATGAATTATTATTTCAGATTTATTAAAACAGTAAATGCCTATTTCAGTATTTCTATACAGTAGAACCAACCATCTGCAGGAGCGTAGCAGCTGCCAATACTCCGATGACATCGACTGGCTTCAGAACAACATCGTCTTTATACAGACAACCCAGGGCCGTCTGCAGAGCTGAAAACATGATTAGGATTTTACCTCAACTCGACTGGATTCAGGGATGGAGATAAGCCTCGTTAAAGACATGCGACAGTTACACCATCTTGTGCATTTGTGTTGCTTGTACTTCTTGCTGCTGAGAATTGTTTGACCCTTCGTCTTGGGGTCTTGATTGCATACATAGACTGACTGATTATTTATTGATCTTCTGTAGCCACTGACTGATTTAACAGATAAATATCTCTGCAAAATGACTCTTTCTAGACAAGCCACAGCATTTCAATTTGGAAATCACACTGTTTCATTTTTCAATCCTCTCACCAAATAGCCTACATACAACATACACAACTATATATTATGTATCTGGGCTTTATACTGAATTGCTGAGAGACCATTTCTCACATGCAAGTCTGCAGCAAATGCAAGTTACAGTTCCCACATTGGAATGACAAATTTCCCAATTCAGTAATGCCAAATGCTTGGCTTTGTAGAGGTAGTTGTATTTCATTAACTTATTTAAGCAAGAATATGTTAATTTCTCAAATTACCTGCAAAGAGTACTCAGTTGGCAACCCTGTATACATCCCTGTGTGTACAACATTGTCTCCATATACATGTATTAATATCATTAATCTACCTTTTTCATCCACATTGTTGTCTGGTATATCAAGCTGTATGACATCCTGGTTAGATTCTTTCCATGAACCACTCAGCATCCCACAGAAATAACCAGACTGAAAGACAAACACGCAGATCACTCAGAATATCAGAGAAGTCAGACTGAAACACAAACATGCAGATCACTCAGAATATCAGAGAAGTCAGACTGAAACACAAACTCATAGTTCCCCCAGGACACGGGATAATTTGAAGTGAGTGAGTTTAGTTTCATGCCGCACTCAGCAATATTCCAGCTATATGATGGCGGTCTGTAAATAATCAAGTCAGCGAGCCTGACCACCTGATCCCGTCAGTGGCCTCTTACAACAAGCATGGGTTACTGAAGATCAATATTCTAACCCAGACCTTCACTGGTCCGAGATAATTTGGATGAAAACTAAACAGCATATAGTTCACTAAGTATGCCACAGAGAAATATGTATGATGTACAAGCATAGTTCACTCAGAAAACCGTTGAAGTAGTTGCACTCATAAATACCAAGATATATTTCACTCAGCATACTACAGAAATAGCTAAAGTGGTTGACTCAAAAATTTGAAAACCTAGGCACAGTATGAGTCATTAACAACTTCTCACAAAATTAGTGATCAGTAAAGAGATTGTTCAATCAGTCTGTATATCGAAAAGGCTGACAATACAAGGGATTTAATCAATTCACATTTCCTTGAGGATATCCTCTCCCCAAATAAACACTCAACATTCTGTTGATACAATCAGGTCCAGACACAAGATTACATTTCAAGATGTATGCAAAACATTTAATGAGACACTATAATGACTGGGTGTTTGGAGGCATATTTGACATGTGTGAAAAAAATAACTTTTCCTAAAGCGACATATTGCTTTTTTGGCACCTATGCTTTAAGGTTTCACTGACGCTTATATATTGCAAGGTTTGGTATTATCACACCCAGATCAGGGTGTAATCAAATGGCAAGGGAGGTAACCCATGTGGTATTTTCATACAGGAAGGCAATATTACAAACACAAAAAACTTTCAGACACATATTCTCTGTTAAATGCATAAATCTGAAGATTTCAACAATGGAAAATATTCTACATTCTTCTGTTATGTTTTGCATTCATACTTCTCATTTTGGACATTAATGTAAATATGGCAACCGGTGAACACTGGGGTAACTGAATGCTTTTTTTTTTATCTCTGATAAAAGTGACATGTCATAACTAATGAGTTGTGAACTGAATTATTTGCAAACAAAAATTGTGATATCATCCTGTATATCTGCTAGGTGTTGCATGATGACTATGTTTCAAGCTCATGACAAATGCCCAGTTATCTCACTTGGGGTTTGACATTTTCTTATACCCTTGATCTAGCATTGTGTCTGGATCTGAAAGTCATGATAATCATGATAATGATGAAAACAATTCATTACTTTGAACAAGTTTAAGGAACAAACAAGAAACAATAGGAATGAAGACATTACCTGCTTGAGGTAGTGTTTGTGCAGGTGCCAGTCTCTTCCAAGTGCTTGAATGGTGACATCACTGTTATCACCCTTCACAAAGAGAGTCTCATAGATATATTTGGAAGTGGACTTGATATGCTTCCTGCAACAAGACATTTTGCAGGCATTTCAGAAATATTACCACATAATACCTGCCCGAATTTAAAACTTATTCTTTTTGCAGCTATTTCTGTTATTACAGAACAGATACTTGTTTAGGAACTGCTAAAGGATATATCTGGCACTACTTTCATTTTAAAGGAACCAGAGGTTAAAGAGAAAGTTGAGAGTAACCTACTCAAATGATAGTAATTATTATGTACAGACCAGTCAACAAAGAAATCCATTTTAAGCATTATTTTTCTTTCAAATACTTTGTATATTATTGGGTGGCAAACAGACTCTATCATCGCAACCCTGTTTTGAACAACCGCCTGGTTGATCACAATATTCACAGAGATAGTTCGATATGTCTTAAAATATACATGCCCACCGAAGCATTCTGACAGGTTCAGGACCAACAGAGATTGTTGACCAACAATGAGGCTATTCATTCACCTTTTCGGCGTCTGTATGTCGACTGTTCTGGATTTGCGGGCAGGTGGAGAACCAGATTCGGATGCCGAATCTCCATCATCATTGGAAGAATCGTCGGAAGATTTTTCAAATGTTTCGTCTGCACGCTTTCTTTTCCTCCTTCTGTCACCAGAGATAACCCTTGTTAGAATATTACCCATAATCAAGATATACTGCCATTAACAAGTGCATGCGAAAGAAATTCAAATTCACATGTTATGTGAAAAATACAGCAGACGGTTCCTAAAGATATGACAAGCAAACTCGCCGCCCCTTTCCAACTCGACTCACGGCACTGCAGAGACAAAGCGCCTCACATATCGAGCGAGCTCTAGGAACAGTGTATGGAGATGTGTTGTGCAGCGACATCTTGTGGTCAACTGTAACAACAGGATAACTTTTCATTAATTCCGATTCAATGATTTTATGATTCTTCAAATTTTGGCGTGTGTGAAAGATAAAATATTATATAATAATGGGAAAAATCTGACATTCGAAGATTCGACTTGCTTAAAATACAGTGCATTGTCAGATTGAATTGTCGAAAGAACAAGTCTTGTCAAAGTAGTGTTTTGTGCATTAAAAATGTCTCCCCATGTCAAAACACATCCCTGAAATATTATGTAAGTTATTTGAAATGACAGGCTTAATGCCAAAATGTGTGTATCATTTATTATTTCTATGCTAATTTCTTCTGTCAAGAAATAATATGTAGCATTTTTTATGTCAAGGCAAACTGCACTTTTCGACATGAAGTGTCTTTCGAGTGGAGATTGACCACTTTACCCATTATACTGATATTTTTGCACAAGACACCTGTGAAGATCCAAGTTAGAATTGGTCTTCAGCAACTCATGCTTGTTGTAAGAGTGAGTGAGTGAGTGAGTTGGGTTTTACGCTGCTTTTAGCAATATTCCAGCAATATCATGGTGGGGGAACACCAGAAATGGACTTCACACATTGTACCCATATGGGGAATCGAACCCGGGCCTTCGGCGTGATGAGCGAACGCTTTAACCACTAGGCTACCCCACTGCCCCTTGCTGTAAGAGCAGGGTTTTACATGACGCGTGATTCCTGCGTATTTGACGCAACAATTTTCTAAACGACACTCAAAATATTATCATACGAGTCAAGCTTGACGCAAGTTTTATGGGTGGCCCTCACAATTCAGTTCAATAAAATCGATTTGATAAGCAAAGAATGATATTGTTTGATGATAGTTTTGACTTTTACAGAGCTGTCAGATTGTTCCAGAGAACTCAGACAGTAATCGTGCCTGTTTGAATTGAACAATGCTGTAGTTTCATTTGGTGGTTTGACATACACAGTTATATACTGCGAATGATTTACACAAAGAAATATTAAAATTTTCATGACTGCCAAATATTGGGAATGACTCCCAAAAAATAAATATTGGGAATCACCATGATTCCCATTTTTAAAAGTCTGTGTAAAACCCTTCGTAAGAGGTGACTAACAGGATCGAGTCTTGGTTAACACAAATCATGTTATCGTATCCCAACTGCGAAGAACGATGCTCATGATAATGATCACTGGATTGTCTGGCCCAGACTTGATTATTTACAGACCGCCGGCATATAGTTGGAATATTGTCGAGTGCTCCTTAAAACTAAACTCACTCATTTTGGACGAGATCAATACTGTATGTGTCGGTCAATCACGCATGACCCATCTTCAGCTTTCTTTTCAGCAAAACAAGACAAAACACATTTTCAGAGTATATAACACATTTATTTGCATTATTGAAATGTGAAAGACAGTGTTGACCAACTGCTCCTAAAAGGCTTGGACTGAAATGAACATTAGCAAATACTGACATGTCCATAAATGTTTGTTTTGTCTTCTTGTGAACCCAATAAAATTTCAAATTAACAAACTAAATACAAAGTATGATCAAGAGATCCCTGAATACGATGGGAATAGTGATTACCCTGACATGACCGAAACATAACATGTATGATAACCATGACTGGTAAAGGTGAATCAACTACAGTGAAATCCAGGAACCAGAGACACCCTATATCTGAAGCCATATTTTATTACTCTTACCCTTTAGTCTTGAGTTTATAAAATGTCAGACTCAAAATTTAAGGAAGGTGAAGGATTAATACAATTATAAACGCATCTTCCAAAATGATGGGAAGGTCAACTTTCTAATCAGCTAATCAGCATCAAGTCCTCTAATATTTTTGTACATGGGGCCAAAGCATTATTTAGGCAATACTGGTATTTTGTTAAGGATGTACACATATGTTCTTCTAAAAACGTAATTTATGAATCAAAATATTGAATAAATGTGGCCACCTTAGTTTAGGAAGGTAAGTTTAGGCTAAAGAATGCAGACATCGATTTAGTCTGTGTTGACCAGGTGAATTAGATGTGTAAGTAGATCTTGAAGCCGAGGTATCCTATCAGAATGGAATCATCTAAGAACCATATCGGGTTGTAAAAAGTGGTTTGTATAAATTTCAAAGGCAACACCTACTGTATTTGCCATACGACAATCTTCAAGGATCAAGTAGTAGAAGACAATTATACTTCAAACATTGATTAAACTACTGTTTCAATAATTGTTACTGGGCAATTATATATTCATTTGATGTGAACAAGAAGAGACAGATTGTACAATGGGAATGAATTCTCTTTGGCTGATATACAATACTATATCTTCAACAATTTGATAAATGACTCTCAGCTTCATCGCTTCATCCTGGCAGGAGAGTGACGGACACCATGTTGTTGGAACACGCATGACATTTGGGTCTGATCAGTGATTATAAAACCACATCATCAGACATCCTTAATAGAGTTGTGACGATATATCGTAGTATCGATAATCGTGATACTTTTTCTGACAATAAATATATCGATACTTTTTTCCGTATCGTGATATGTATCGTTGACCTTTAAATTGTGAATTTTCACCAGAAATTGACGGTTATGTCAAAATTTACACTGTTTCTTGTTACCAAGATACACTTTTTAAAGAAAATAACTAAAGATAGCATATCGTGATATGCATCGTATCGTTCTATGATAATGCGATACGTATCGTATCGTAAAATGTCTGTATCGTCACACCTCTAATCCTTAAGCTATGCATCTGTGTGCCATTGTACAAAGCAACCTTAGCAAAAAGGTGATCATAATTCCCATACGTTAACATAGACTTACAACTTGCGTACACTAAGGTTGCTTTGTACAACAGCACGCAGGTCAAGGAATCTGGAGTCTCTGAGATATCACTGATGTTGCTACACAGTTAACCAGTCTTTACCATAAAGAATTACTTGAACGTCTACATAGGGAAAACAGTTTCCTGTATACTGAAATGAGCTTCATATGTAAGTCAATAAAAAATATATGCATATCAACAGAAAGATTTCCAAAACTGTTTTGAATATTACACATGTATACAAAGCAGCCATTTTATTCACAATACAAATCACTGGCAGACACATGAGATCCAGGGATTATTGCAACCACTGTCTTCTCCATCCATTCAAACCTGCAACCATCAATTCTCTCTATAATCTCGTGAAACTTAAACCTTTTGTTGAAATTTGATTTCTCTCTTGTGTGAAGATCTGACAAATTCATAAAATCAGCATGGAGGCTTTTAAATTCAGAGCAGAAATCATACTTCTGTATCACAAAAGCTGACCCAAATGGGCAGTTCTGAATGGGGATAATAATGACTGTGCTATGTTGTGAATATGCTTCATTGTGTTAATCAATTCAATACAAGACTTTCTTGTAGGTGTGGTTCCATATTTCCAACTCAAAACTATCAAAGGCTGCCAATGCTAAAGCAGAGCTTTAACTTAGCATGATAAAGAGGAGTATCAAACAGAAGTATGACATCAGATATTTATCTCATTCTCACCCATCTGTCAATATAATGGGTATTCATTCAAAACAATAATATAAGTGATACATTATGGATAAATAATTTACTTACTGCATCACCTTTGCATCGATAAGAGATGTGTGCCATTCATAAATATTTTATTTAAACTGCACTAGATACTAGAGCTAGATCTATTAAATAACTACACATAAATATGGGAAAATCTAGCAAAAAACAATTTACATTACTATTTTAAGATGGTAACTATTATTGATAAATATTTCTTCCAGGAATTGCCTTTTTTCTTTCTTAAAAAAACAACAAGCATTTGTATTTGTTAATGCTAAACCCACATCCGAAGTCTTATAAACCTCTTAATGAGATCAAAACTGACACTGACAATGTAATGGTTACTGCTACTGTGTAACAAAGATATTCAGGTATAATGAATAAATTAAGTAAATATCGATTTTTCAACTTCTCTACAAACTGTGAGGCTGGAAGCATTCTATTTATATTTATGTTGGGGACAGACTATGATAGTCATCTTTGTACATCTACAGTCAAAGCATGCGACAAATGAAGCATTGATGTACACAGAGTAGTTCGTCCAGTAGAAAACTATGGGCAACAAAATAATGTGAGGCAAAGCTGTTTGGTAATGAGATGGGCAGTGGTCATCGTTATATCCTGGGCTATTATTTAGGTAAACCTGCACCCTAGTCTCAAGCTCCATCTCCAAGGTTCTTTACAAATTACCTGCCAATTACCTGATTATTGACGGTTGTTTTGGAGTGTGTCAGATTTTCAAGACTGAATTTTAAGATTGATGCATATTAATACCATACTCAAACAGATAAATTCTTCACGTGTTCAAGTGGTAGTTAACCTAACAATTTGTTAATAATAATTATTAGGTAATTGTATACTCCTTCTAACATGCTGTTTTCCGAGGACAAACCAGTAATACTGTTAAGAAAATATGGAAATTACAGTGTAAACCTGATAAGTAAAATTTCAAGGGACTCGCCAAAATTGTTTACTTATCAGGTATTTTACTTATCCAAACTTATAAAAACCTGCAAATGACAACCAATATGCATGTATATGTATGCATATGTAACAATGAACAACTTATCAGGGCTGGCCTCCAGTTGTCAGTGTATTGTCAACTGCAAAACGCCAGCGGGCTGTAAGTAGGATGTTTTTTTGACTGGAGACTGACACGACTGCCCCTCGGATTATGTGGTGATCGCTAATTTAGTTATCCAGTCTCTTTTGTTAAGTAATTTACTTCCAGGGACCATGAGAAGACGTTTAGTTAAGCGGTATTGTTTACTTATCCGAGTATAGTTAACCAGACTCTAATAGTGATAATTAAAGAAGAAATTTGCCGTGACCAAAGAAAAGTGTTTACTTATCAGGTCTGTTTAGTTAAGCGGTTTCCACTGTATGTAAAAACAGGTCATGTTTTTTTAAATTAAGACATCCTTTCCATCCAAAAGATTATTGAAGGTTGGCATATGTAAGTTTTTTAAGATTGAATTTCTCTTTAACTCACTGGTTTGTTTCTTAGATCCCTTGCTACGTAGCCAAGGAATCCAGTGGGTAGAAAGGTTTACTAAAATGTGAGCTATAGAGATAGAGAGGATGGATCATGGTGAAACTCGGACACTTATTTTGGGTTAATAGTGAGTGAGTTTAGTTTTACGCCGCACTCAGCAATATTTTGGGTTAATATAAAACATATATTGTGACCAATGACCCCAGCCACCCAACATATTGTCAGGTCCTATATGATATGTACCCTCAACGTGGTAGTGTCTTTCACTTGGCTAAATCATAGCTGCACAGTCTCATGAGATTCTCTCTCCTTACGTAGAAGACAAAATGAGTGTAACATAAATCACAGCATATCTTGCACTGGAGGTGGTGACTGTTTATGAAATTATATAAAGGATGCCCATTGCCAGTCTTGACG